TGGCTAGGCGAGCTGGCCGAGCACACAAGCTAGCAGCGCTAGCTTTGTAAGCATGCATGTTGGCATACTAGCAAGGCTAGCATCAGCCCCCAAGGGCTGCTAGCTCCTTAAGCAAGGCTTGCTGGGCCTTGCGCGGGATAGCAGCGGCAACGCACAGCAGCTCGCATAGCTTGCGAGGCCTGCTTGTGTGGGGAAGCAAGGCCTTTGGCTGCTGGCAGGCCCAACCGAGGGACCAAGCCGCCAACAAGGCAACCTTGGTGCCTAAGGCAGGCCGCACCAGCTAGCGCATCATGGTTGGTTCCGGTTTTGTGAGGTGGGCTTTCTTAGGGAGCAAGGGGAGTTGTGTTCCTCACCTACCCTCACTCTCCATTTGCCACTTGTGTTTGCTAATTGATTTATGTAAATAATTTAAATTAGAATTAAATTAATTGCTTATTTTCTCGTTTTACAAACTCTCCCACATGGAAAGATGATTGAGGTTTGGGAATGTTTTATTTATAAATACCAACCTTGGGACAAAAGCGGAGAAAACCTTTAAGTTTGTAAAACTCTAATTTTTGCTCGGTCTCATCTAAGCTACGAGATAGGAGCCAGGTTCGGGCGCATAGGTGTGCAAAGTAGGAGGATTCGAGCGTGCGTGTCTTGAGCTTTCTGGGGGTCGTGCTCGGGTTTGTGTGAATCATGCTACAGAGGTAAGAATGTCTTTTCCCTACTTTCTCTCTCTCCCTCTTTATGTGTTTATCGCCTTCTTAATTGCATATTTGTTTATATTAATTATGCATGCGGTCCGGGCGGGTTTTGGCTCCGCACGGTGCACACGCGTCGTAAAAGCCAACAGAGATCGCTTTTTGTGGGATGACTACAAGGTTGGCCAAGAAGTTAGGCCATGAGCACCTCCTTCCCGCATGTACTCAAGTGGGTAGTGATGATGAACTTTTTCTAAATCTTGCCCAACTCAAGAAGTTAGGATTTGTTCAATGGACCGATGACATCAACAACTACTTCATTTGGCAAGTAGATTATGAGCATCACTATATCCTCCCAAACCCCGCTCGGAGTTCTATTAGGAGGGATGCTAAGAATGTATTGGCAATAACACCCAATAACGGCGTCGTGTGTTGACAAATGCAATGAGAGGAGGTCAAGGAGATTTGGATGGAGTAGAAGAGGAAGAAGAGGAAGAAGAAGAAGAAGAAGAAGAGGAAGAAGAAGAAGAAGAAGAGGAAGAAGAAGAAGAAGATCAACAAAGGTTGGCATATCATTTTGAACCTCCTCCCCTGATTCGTCTAAAATGGAATCACTAGGAGTGCTTGGGGCACTTATAACTTGTTATTTTGTATGATTTTAGAGTGATTTTGAGCCCTATATTATTGGGAAATCAATGCTTAATTCACTAATTACTCTATTTTTATGCATTTTTTTATGTATCATATGCTTCATGGGTTTGCTAGTGTTTTGGTGCATATTTAGGTATAAATATGGCACTTTGAAGCTTTTGGACAAAGAAGAAAAGAAGTTGGAGACAAGAAGAGGAAATAAGGGAGCTATGGAAGAATGAAAGAAGCAAGGAAAAGTGTACAAGAGTGAAATAAGAGCATTTGGAAGGGTTTTGGAAGGATTATTTCACTAAGGTCAACTTCAAATGACTATAACTTTTTTTCTACTCAAGTTTTTGAAGTGATTCAAATTGGAGATTAAATTTCATCTCAAGAGCTTTCCAAGGACTACTTACATACCTTATTCCAATGAGTAATGAAGAAATTATGACCTTCCAAAACGAAGCTGTTTTGCCAGAAAAAGTTGCACGTCCGTGCCAAGTGATGCACGTCCGTGCAAGGTCAGGCAGAAGCTACTGTTCTCATTTTTACAGGTCTGCACGTCCCTGCAACCTTTGGCACGTCCGTGCCGACCTGGAGACGGGCTGATTCTTGTTTTCTCCGCCCTTTTACTTGGGGGTTATATAATATCCCTTTAGCTTCATTTGTAGGGGGGATCTTCTTAGTTTAGTTTTAGCTCAGGTTACGGTTTTTAGAGAGAGAAACTCTCATTTTCTAGAGAGAGAAAGTGAGAAAAGCTTGTTGAAAGCTTGGAATATGAAGAATTGAAGGAAGGAAACTTGAAGATTTGGATACTCCTTGCAATATCAATGAGAATTTCTTACTCTCTCTCCCCTATTTCTAGAGAGAAAAAGTTGCACGTCCGTGCCAAGTGATGCACGTCCGTGCAAGGTCAGGCAGAAGCTACTGTTCTCATTTTTACAGGTCTGCACGTCCCTGCAACCTTTGGCACATCCGTGCCGACCTGGAGACGGGCCGATTCTTGTTTTCTCCGCCCTTTTACTTGGGGGTTATATAATATCCCTTTAGCTTCATTTGTAGGGGGGGATCTTCTTAGTTTAGTTTTAGCTTAGGTTAGGGTTTTTAGAGAGAGAAACTCTCATTTTCTAGAGAGAGAAAGTGAGAAAAGCTTGTTAAAAGCTTGGAATATGAAGAATTGAAGGAAGGAAACTTGAAGATTTGGATACTCCTTGCAATATCAATGAGAATTTCTTACTCTCTCTCTCCTATTTTGTTATTCTATTTACTTATTTTTGTACCTTTTCATCCTTAATTACTTGTTTATGTTAGATTAGTGTTTGATTTTATGTTCTTAGTTGTTAATTCCTTTAGTTTTGCAATTTATTATGATTTGTGAGTAGTTCTTTTACTTGGGATGGTTGAAACCATTGATGAATTCACAAATACTTGTTTGTATGTGTTGATTTAGCTAATGTGGGATGTTAATTAGTTGAGCTTAAGTGGTTTCATTGTTAGTTCTTGTAAGTGGCCATTGCTAGAACTATTTATCCAAGCTTTTTCAACGAAGGATCGAGAGATGAACTTGAGTTAGCTCCCTTATGCTTGATTGACCCAAAATGTCATGAGAATAGGAATTTCCGGTCAAGGAAATGTTTATGTCATCATGATTATGCTTTAACACTTGTTTTATGCTTTGTAACCACGAGAGTAGGTTGTTTTCATGATTCAAGTAATCCTTCTAGCTTGAGAGAGTAGTTGGGTGCCTTAGATGATTTCCCCTAATTTATCCTATTAATTTACCTTGATTGTTGCATGCTAATTGTGATTTGTGATGAAGTTGAGTGGTATAACCCGAGCCCTAGATTCCTCTAAATATTGTTAATCTCCTCTTAGTTTTAGTTGAATTGAATTAGTAGAAGTTACTCAAAACCAACCCAATTTCGACTTCATTTAGCTTATTTAAACGGTAGTACTCGGTGGTTGATTCAACGCCTCTCTTGGGTTCGACCCTTTATTACCCTTGCTATTAGTTAGTGAGACCAAGATAGGATTTTTATCTTTGGTAGGCTCGACGACGGCCTATCAGGCACCAGGCGACACGTCAGACAATTCGCTGACAAGCGCATAGAAGGAAAAGCTGTCTGAATTTTTCACCCTTACAGTTCTCTTAGTTCTGGCCATGGTATCCTGCACAGATACATAGACAGTCGGACTTGGGGCAGTTCGCAAAGGGTGATCCAGCAAGGGGCAGTCAGCACTCCTAGTTCTAGCCGTCCCCGGTGACCGGCTGATCACTAACCTAGGCCGTGCCGTGTACTTTTGGGAAACCATTTTCAAAAGAAAAACAAAGAGAAAGTATGAAAAAGTAAAAAGAAATAGGCGGTTACCTTTAGTTGGTGACGATGAAGGCGCTTGAAAATCTACAGCGGCTGTAAGAGCAGGCGGTCTGTAAAAATAGGCGGTCTGTAAAAACAGGCGGTCTGGTGCAGTCGGAAGTTCTCTCTCAGAAAAAAAACAAAGCTCTCTGGAATTTTTGGAAATTTCCAAACAAATGATTTGGACATCCCCTATTTACAGGGTGGTGAATTCCAAGAGACAGTAAAAAAAAAAGGTAAAAACCATTAGCCAATCATAGCGTGACACCTGTCAATGGCGCCACGTGGCATGCCACATCACCCCTGTGAGGGGAAAATGATTAGGGTATTTTCTCCTGCCACGTGGACCAATGGAACTCTGCCATGTGTCATCCATGTGGACCAACCAAAGTCTGTCACGTGTCACCTCGTCAGAGGTCCAAGGTGGACCAATCAGGCCACGACACGTGGCAGGTAGATAGCCAAACAGGAAGCAGGCCTCTAATGACCCAACTTCCTAGGCAAAGCTCAGTCAGTCCTAGGTTTATTGAAACCTATTACTAGGTACGTTTTGCAACACCCTATAAAAGAGAGATGTTCCCCCTGGGGAACACACAATTAATTCCATTCATAAATACATTGAGAGAAAGTCAGACACCTGACACCTCAAACTGAGCAATTACACATTGCAGATATTCTCTTAAGAAAAACCTTTTGCTTTCCGTTCTTTACTCCTCAAACACGCTCTAACTTGATCGTCGGAGGCGGAACTCCATCCAACCGGAGTCTTTGTTGTTTTGCAGGTACAAGCGTTCAGAAACCAGTCCCGGAATTGTAACTCTCCCGCAGGACATCAAAAAACCCTGAAACAATAGCAACTTCATAAATTTTTATTGGTTTTTTGTGGCTGATTCATCCTCTTCTTCCTCCTTCAACCTTCCTTATCTTCTTCAACCTTTCCCATCATCAATGGCGGATGAGTAGCAACAGCTTAATGAATACCATGTCCAACACCACCAACAACTTATCTAAAACCACGAACACCACAACAAACCCCAACCCTACCATCTCCGGCGGCTTCACCGTCGAAATTTAACGAAAACCCTAAGAAAAATATATAAATTAAGGGCATTATTAACCCTAAATTGGTATGTGTTTGTTATGTTAGTGAACTTTGCGTCCATTGTTAAAGAATTCTTCGATCTCCAATTTTCCATTTGAGAATCAAATCCACTGTAGGAGGAGAGAGAGTAGTGAGTATTGGGGTTTTATTTTGTTAAAATAACACATATACCCTTGTTTGATAAAAACCACGAAAATACCCCTTTGAGATCCCTGACATTGAGAAACTTGTATTTAGCCTTTTTATATTAACTCTTCCAAAAACTAATAAACCTCAAAAGAAGAAAAATTTAAGCAAAACGAAACACTTATATTAACTCTTCCAAAAACTAATAAACCCCAAAAGAAGAAAAATTAAAGCAAAACGAAACACCTATAGAGGAAGATGGCGGCGAGATTATCTGCTCTTCGGTCATCGGTGCTGCGGCCACTGCTTCGCCGGCAGCAACTTCAATCATTGTCATCTCTAATTACTCCCCAGAATTCATCACTCTCTTCAATTTCTCAATTCACTCCTCCCATCCCACTCTCCAACCTCACCATTCCTGCCGCTGCCTGTGTCTTCTCATCCTTCTCTTTGGGTTCTAGAACCTACTCTTCCGACTCAGGTACTACTCTTTCTCATTATTATGCATATATTTATTGCAAGTAATGTGTTGGTTATTAAGGATATGAACGCAACAAATGATTTATTGTTTATGTTGTAAATTTGTGTTTGTTGCCAAAATATAATACGGGTATTGAGAAATTTAAATATAAGTTAAAGATTTACACCATTGTGGAGAAAAATGTGGATGTCCATGGATTGGGTCGGTTTGGGGCTGAATTGGGGCTTTTGCGGGATAAGTCGTGGGTCAATTGCTGCAATTCTTGCGGCTGCTTGTGAGCCAAATTGGTTGTGCTGGTGTTTAATTCAGCGTGGTAGGTGCCGCAGGTGAAGGAGGTTGCGATTGGTGGGGGTTGCGGCTGCTGAATGGAAAGGTGCGCTGCTATGGGTGTTGTGTGGTGGGCGAGTGGCTGTTGTCAGTAAGGCACTGCCGTTGTTGCGTGGCTGCTTACGGCTGCAGTTGAAGTGGGTTCTGGACGCTATTCTTGGTGTGGGTTTGTGAGATAGTTATGGCTGGTGGTGCGCGAGTGTGGCTGGTTTTGGTGTGTTGAGTTGCTGTGTCGGTGGGTGTTGCTCGGTGGTGCTGATTGTGGCTTCTGTGTTGGCAGTGAGGTGGTGGAGTTATTTGTTGGAGTAACAGGGGAGCAGGGGATAGTGATGTTGGTTAGTGGTGTGGAGCAGGGGAGTTGTGGTTGTGGGTAAAGGCACTTGCAAACTACTTGGAGTGACACATTTGACTCAAACCCGGAACACCGAACACGACCTACAGCAAAAAACAATAAATCTAAGGAATCATCGGGAAAATAAATAAAATAAAGAGGAACAAAGTATAAATAAAATGAAAAGCTATAACACATCAAAAACTTAAATAAGATAACATATAAAGAAGAGAGAGACGAGAGACAAAATTATTGACAAAAACTAAGACTTAAATCATTAGAATTAAGAAACATAAATAAATTATGAAATTAAACTAAAAATCACTAAAAATTACCTAATTACTTAATTTAAAAGATAAAAGACTAGAATAAGAAAATAAGAGAAATATAATTGTTTAAACGAGGGAAATTATGGGAAAAATAACTAGTAAACGACCCTCAAAATACTCCTACAAGGGAAATCATAGGTTTATTTTATAGTTGAGTCATGCTAAATTATTGTGTCCATACGAGTCAAAATTTAATTATCTAAATCGGGTTTTGACACCCTCAGCTTGCTATTGACTCATCTTAAGTATATTTTAAGCCTCTTTTTGTTGTGTGTATGTGTGTGCCCGCACTTTATACGGAGGATGAAGCCGCGTTGTGTTGTGTGTATGTGTTTGCCCACACTTTTTTCGGAAGATGTATTCATTTTTGAATTAGCAAGGGAGGGAGTGAGAGAGCTAATTAAAATAGATAATTTTAAGGGCATTAATTGCATTACATCAAGACGAAATTCTACTTGGATGCATTTCAACAAAATATGGAAGATGGAGCAATTTATGCTAATTGCCTCTATAAGAAATAAGACAAGGGACTCATAGAAAACTAATGGACTACCAAATTGTTATAACTTCACTGCAACAAATTGAGTTAATTGGCCTTTGTGCCAAGACAAAAATCGTGGCACAAGTTTAAAATTCCCGTAGCTATGCAATTTTGCTACGGAAATATTGAAATTTACTCTCGTGGCAAAAGAGATTGTGGCTAGGAATTTGCTATGGGAAAATGGATGGCGTGGCAAATTGATTTTTATGCCTTGGGAATTTATGTGGCACACAAATTCTCTTGCCACGAATACTAGTGTGGCTAACAAATTATTTGCCACAAAACAACCATTGCTAATAAACTTTGTTGCTACAAACATTACCGTGGCTAATAAACTTTTTTTCCTCATACTGTCGTGGAAAATAAAAACCATTGTCATTATACTGCCGTGGCTAAAAAAATCCCTTGCCACAAATACTACCTGGCTACCTAATTCGCTAGTTATAAGCTTTGTTGTGGAAAAAAAAAAAAGCACACATGTAGCTAAATATTTAAAACGACATTTTTTTTGCTTAAATATATAGCATTTGTTATTGTTGAAATAAATATATAACACACAATAAATTTGGAATAATAAACATTTGATATCCATACATACAAACATACTTGAAATTAGTATGTCTCAGTGTCTCATCACTATTTACACGAAAGAAAAATGTTAAAAAAAATAAGAAAACACACACTTAAATCCTTTTGCTGCAGGAAAATAAATAATTAACTTTGTAGTTTTATAAAGGAAAAATTGCTCATCTCACCTTTGGGGCGTCCGCTAAAAATAATCTCACTTTTGGTTTATTTTTAAATAATCTGACCTTTATACCCAATCCGCTTTAGATGGTCCCATCTGGTCATTTAACTTGTTGTACCAAGTTACATGACACGTGTCGGCAGCTAATTGGTTTAAAAAAAAATTAAAAAAAAGAAAAAATTATACATAATTAATTAAAACCACTTGTTTCATTTTTTTTTTAAAAAAAACCCCACCAGCTAACCACCCTCCATGGTTGCTCACTCCCACTGGCCCTCCACACGACCACCCTACCCCTTGAAACGCCAACTCCCTTCCCCCTCCCCTTGAACCACCAACTACACTCGAAAAACCCTTCCCCGTCCGGTTGTCTAGATCGGGACCTCCCTCCCCTTCTCCGCCACGTTTCCGGCTCCCTCCCCTACCCATGTCCCTTTTCCGGCCACCTCCCCTTCCCCTCGCCCCGAATTCGGCCCCTATCCCCTTCCCACGCCTCGATTTCAGCCTCCTCTCCTTCCCATGCCTTGATTTCAAATTTTCGGTAATGGGTTTGGTGGTTTAGAGGCGACAGAAGGGGCAGGGGTAGGGGCGACGATTGACCGATATGTGACGACGCTCTGGGCGTGGCGGAGCTGGTGTCCGGGACGATGGTAGGGCGGAGGGGTGGCCGGGGCTGGGATGGTGGCTGTTTTAATTTTTAATTACTATTATTTTTTAAATTTTAATTATATTTAAACAAGTTAGTTTTAAACTAGTTAATTAAAATTAATTAGTAATAATCTCTTCTTAAAAAAATTTAAATTAAAAGTTATATTTTGACCAATCACATTGTGACACGTGTACTTTAAACCAAATTTTTTTCTTACCTATTTATCAGGTAACCGGTCACTTAGGACCATTTTGGGCGGATTGGGTATAAACGTCGGATTATTTAAAAATAACCCAAAGGTAGGATTAATTTTAGCGGACGCTCAAAGGTGGGATTATTCCGGGCAATTTTTCCTTTTATAAAAGCATATAAAAATGTCTTGTGCTCTGGTATCTCCTATATCCCTACAAGAAATCAAGAAAAAAAAATCAATAAATTACAAAATAGATGGGAATAATAAGAACCCAGAGGTATATGAACATAAACTTGAATATAGTATTGATAACCTAGACTAAGTCACCTAAAGTGACTCCTCTTACGACATTTCTACATTAAAAGCCAAGTAATAAGCAAAATAAGACATGATGCAGTTTAATAGTTCATCATTTCATTCATTAAGTCATTTTCTAAGAGGTGGGCCAAATAGAAAATAAAATAGCAAAGTTAAATGAAAGATGAATAAGAGTCCTTAAATACACTAACCAGATTTAATTTTTTTGCCAGAAAAAAAATTCAAGACTAATAATTTGACTGTCCAGTTTCATTTGATGCTAAAGCTATATTCAACTATTATATAACTCTTGCTCAATTGTCAAATAAGAATGTTAATTGCTACCTATAATTAGGAAACCTTTTTCTCATAAATCCAATGAAAATTCACAGTTCAACCAAAGAACTGCTAAGTAATTTAATGTGCCAACTAGCTAGAAATTTCAATTTTTCCTTTGATGCATGTAAACTTGAGCTTAAATTTGTTGAATTTCAATGAACTAAAATTCTGCAGTCAGGCAGCGAATGCAGGTATGATTTATTTATTACTGCAATGTATTATGATCAGAGCTGAGAAAATCAAATATTTCTTATTCAACCTCTAACCCCGAGTTCAACCACAGACATAGTCCATTACTGTGGAATAATCAAGAGAATTGGGAATTATGAAAGAGTGTGAGTGAATGTATGGAGTTGTTAATGTAATCAGTTTCCATGACCAACTAATAGATCTATTTTGGCTCTCGACATACTGACTTACTGCCCTGCAACCATCAGACCTTCTTCCCTTCCATACCCCCAAGGGTCCCACATAATAAATTAAGGCAGCCTGTTATGATGTAGTACCTGACAAAGTTCCTCAGCAACGAAGGTTTTCCATGTACTAGGTTTGATCGAAGATTGATAGAATGTAATAAATCAAACATCACGAAACACCTACCAATTGTAGCTGGACAGAGACAAATATATTCTTACATAGCATAAAACATCAATAGGTAAAAATTCTTGCTTCCTTATATTATTTATACACGCAATTCCTTATATTCTTACTAATCCCCAAATTAAACTAGCAACTTCTTATAATAATGTAGTTAATTAAATCATCATCCGAATTTACTCCTTCTGGATTAATTAAGTTGATTCAGCGCAATTTTTTTTTGCTTCTTTAAGCTCTTTTATTAGACATGAATGTAATCATTAAACATCAGAAAATTGAAGAATATATTTGAAACAATATATTTGCGCATGCAAACAATATATCAGAAAATTTTGAGCAGATTATACCCAAAAATGATTCGTTAAAATAAAAAGAAACAAATCAGTTAAAAAAAAAAAAGCAGCACATGCAAACAATATATCAGACAATTGAACAGATTATACCCAAAAAAACTTGAATCAATAACTATTACAAAAATTCAATCAATTACTATTATAAAAATCGAATTAATTAAACTAAATCAGTTAAGAAACCATACGAAATTTTGAAAATTAAAGAACACAATTCACTTGAGCCATACGAAATTGACGCAGAAAATTGCAAGAATAGATAAAAATTGGAGTATAGTTCTTTTCAAGCATATCAATTAGAATACAACTTAACTACAACAAAATTCAACTGCTACCATATACAAATTGGAATAAGTTAAATTACCATACATTTCATATCTTGGTTTTAAAAAGTGCGCCTCAAGTGCGCCTAGGTGACAGGCGAAGTGAGGCGCAGGCCAAAATGCCACGGTCTTCCCAAGTGCAGCGCATTCTAGAAGGCACGCGCCTCAAACTGCCTCCACCTAGGTGTAAGGCGCAGCGCCTCAACCGCCTTATGTTAAAAAGTGTGAGAAAAGGGATCTGGGTTGATTTTTGTTAAAAAAACATTTTTTTTTTTTCAAATTGACACTTACCCGGTCTTTAAAATGATAAATCGAGCAAAAGCCTCATATTAATTGAATGAAATTGCTTTAATTTAACCCCCAATTGAAAAACCCTAATTATTGGGAAACCCTAATTTACGGGTTACTGAACAATTGGAGAAATTGATGGGTGCTGCTACAACAGAGATTGCCGGAGAGCAGTCCTTGACGGTTTCCGGCACCAGATCTACCGGAGGCCGGCGCCGGTCAAGCAACCCGGGTAAGTCTCCTCCTCCTCCTCATAATAATAATAATATTTTAATTTTAATCAATTATTAAACTTATATAATTATATTTGAGGTTATTTCCCTATGTTCAATACCAAAAAAGTTGTACAATAATTAAAATAATTTTTTTAAAAAAAGTGCGCCTCATGTACGAGAGGTGAGCGCCTCCGCCTTGTTCCTAGGCTCCAAGAACCCTTTGTGCCTCGGTGCGCCTCGCGCCTTTTAAAACTAAGTTTCATATTAAAATGCAGTAACAAACACGAACCAATGGTATCTTGAAATTTCTACGAATTGTAATTGATCTTGCGATTGTAGAGCGTAGATTGCGTTTTGAATTTTGGAATTTGGGGTGCAAATGGTTGTGATCTCAAGCAAACAAGGTTTTGTGATTTTGAGAGGATTTTTATTTTATTTTTTTTTTAAATTTTTTGCTGAATGTTGGCGGCTAATGAAAGTTGTCTAAGCGCCTAATTAATTTTGGGATGTTTTCCCCCTAAAAAAAAAATTGGGATGTTTTTTGTTTTTATTTTTAATTTTTTTTTTTTTTTTTTTTTTTTTTTTTTTTAGGGGCAAAGATGATCTTAATGTATGAAATATTATATTGTACACTAATATAAGCCTCATCACCTGACAAACAAGTTGTTCGGTTTGAGTTTGGATCGTGGCGTTTTGGGTAGGGTCCATATGAAGTCAATTTCGTGGTTAAAACTAATTGTACATTTAACCACGAAAATAATATTTATGTCTTAAGATTTGTAACACTAGTCTAATTTTATTTTCCTTAAGTACAATGCTATCGGTTTGTATTACTGTGGTACTACCTCCAAATTTTTTAGTTTACGCGTATTCTTTTTTGGGAAGTTTTTATTTATTTTTTTAGTTGATACATATTCCTTTTTGGGAAGCTTTTTTTTAGTTGATACGTATACCTTTTTGGGAAGTTTTTTTTTTAGTTGACCCCACTACAAACCTGATTAAATCAATTAAACACATGGTCTACTTACTTGTTTTTTACATTCTCTCTCCTCTCCTTAAAGTGTGTGCCCGAATTGAACGTGTCATTTAGCTGACCCCACTACAAACTTGATTAAATAAGTTAAAACACATGATCTACCTACTTGTTTTTTACATTCTCTCTCCTCTGCTTAAAGTGTGTGCATGAATTGAACGTGTCTTCTAAAAAGAAACGGTGGAAGTATATGTTTTCCTTGGAAATATATTTTAATGTACGTTGATTAGTGTTTGAATGGCCACATCGAAAAGAAATTCCCGTGGCACAAGTGTTGGATTGCCTCGGGAATAAAATTATTTGTGACACAAGTGTTGGATTGCCACGAGAATAAAATTACTCGTGGCGAATTTGCTTGGGAAAATAATATAGCCACGGCACAAGCTTCAATTTGCCACAATGTTTGTTTTCCCGTGCCATAATATTTTGTTGTCATTTTAAGGTATTTAGTTGACTACATTTTCCCATGGTAAGACCAAATTATGCCACCAATTTTGAATTCCCGTGGCGTAATTCGTGGCACAAGTGTCAATTTGTTGTAGTGTTGTGAAATATACATTACAAGGAAATGAAGGAAATTAAAAAAAAACGTTGAAAGTTGGGGGCAAGGGGGAATTTTGTGTGAATAAAGGGAAACATAGAATATAGTTAGTATCTATAATTATCAATTATTAAGTGGATGTTAGCATTTGAGTTAACGAAACCAAGATGTTAAGTTAATAATAGTTTCTTCCTCCGTGTCAAATATCTTACTCTATTACATCCCTGGTTTCGTGCTTATATAGTTTTCTTAATATTTGACCTAGTTTACTCCCTCATGCTTTGAGGGTCATGGTAGTTTCTGGTTTGTGAATGATTATTATGATTTACTTTAATGACAAAGTTGGTATCCTGCTCATGGACATTAAATATTTTTTTGACCCCTATTGGTTTCTTAAATTTTTTGAATATAGAATTATATTCAAATGTGGTCGTCGTCCAGTGTGATGATCAGTTGAATGACTTCCTTAAGAAGGCAGAAGGTATTTCATTATATAAGCTCTTTCTCTTCCACACCCTCCCCCTTTATATATTTTATGAATATTCATGCTGAAATTGTGCATTTTTTCTAGATGAATCTTTGCAGGCAATCTTCTACTTCACAGCAGTATGGTGTGGTCCATGTAAGTTAGAGTATTTTCTAAACATTTTCATTTAATTTGTATGGATTTTAAATTGTTATAGATTTGGGATATTTATTTAATAGGGATGAGTTAGATTTTAGTGTGTGTATTTTTTAAATCAAACTAGTTGTGGGCCCGTGCACCAACGTTCGCAATCCTCCAAGTTCATGGGGCATAGTTACTAGGAAGAACAGCTTGAACAAGCTTGAACAAGAGACAGCTCACTTCTTTAAATATCTACTCTTCCTATAATCATATAGAGCATAATGTTTATGGATTTTTTTTTTCAACATTTTGCCTACCATATTTCACTATTCATGAAGGGTCATTACCATGAAAATATGTGCATATTCGTTGATTTCAAATCTTTCTCTATAGTCATAAAACAATCATGAAATATTTTTGGTCAAGGCTGCTGTTTTTGATTTTATTTTTTATTTTTATTAAAATTTATTTTTAAACATTTCTAAAAATCATACTTTAAAACTGCACAATTCTAATTACATCAAGAGGTTAAATGTCCTCACAAATTTACTAAAAATCACAATTCATCTTAGTCCAATTCCTTTTTTATCTCCCCAAGAGAATAGTTTGTGAAGCCCCAACTGCCTTTACCATAAAGAAGCTAATGGGTTGAATTTATACCACAGCAAATCATTGGGTTATCATTTCCATCAAAGATTTACTGATTTTGCTATAGCTAGATACCCAGATACTCCAAACAATAGCCAGCATTGAATTTCACTATATCAACTTCTTCTCCTTTTCCCTACCAAACCCCATATATCAAATCTATAATAACTTTCTTGTGTTCAAAAGATTTACCCAAGCCTCACTAGACACCACATAAAGTCTTCTCTAAGTGACAAGCCATATCACAATAAAGAAAACATCTGATCATGTAAACATAGAGACTTACCATTAGCTCAGCAAAGCGCCAAAGCACATAAGTCTCCGCATACTTTGATCACGGAAACAAAACTACTGCTGAACTTTATACTTTGATGATCAAACTGGTCTGCTTAGCTTTTGTGTACCTGGTTGAGGTTGCTTATCCTCATGCATTTTTTTTAGGATGATAATTATTTTGCATTTGTTATTTTGTATAAAACTCTGGAGTAATGCTGCCAAACTTTTGTGCTCTTAAATCTCGATATGTTTTCACATGTTGTGGTTGTTTCATGGTCGGGTCTCTTGGAAATTGGAATGTATCCACTTGTGAATTTTCCAGTACATGAACAAAAGAATCATGGCATTTACCAATATTTTGTATAGGTTGGAGTATTAATTTTTATGATTTGCCTTTATAGATTGAAGATAGCAAGGTTTACAATTTGTTTTCTAAAAGCAATGCCACCTATTCACTTTAAGACACTAAACCCGATTTTGCCTTTGTTTAAACTTTAAAGGCAAAGCTGCTAAGAAATTCAATTGAACTCCAATTGACGGAAGAAACACCATACATATCCCATACTCCTTGCCCCCACAACCCTTTTAAATGGTTTCTTTGTGAAAGTATTTAGTAGGAGAATGTCATATTCTTTATGATTTGCGCTTATTAGCTTTCAGAATGCTGATTGGTTAGAATTGGTCTTGAATATGTTTTGCAGGTCAATTTCTGTGGCCAGATATGAAAAAGCTGAGTGAAGGTTTGCCTAATGTAAAGTTTTACAAGATTGATATTGATGAGGTAATGATACATATGTATGATTCCTTTTTGTGAGCTTTACTGTGATGAATGATAATAATTAGGCTCTTTGCATACAGTCTGTGGAAAGGAACATGGCTCCTTTTGTCACCTTATGATGTGTCACACACATGTATTATACAAGTCGATATATATGAAGTCCGAAAGTTGTGTCTTGTGACTTATTTCTAAGAACATAAAGTGTTGGAAAATGATTTAGGTATATCTTGATATGTGCAGTGATGTGTTTGAGCAAATTTTCGATTCGTTTAGTAATTAGATTCTATTTAATATGTTTTAATGTTTTTTTTGCATGCTTACATGGAAATAATTCTATGTTTTGTGTACAGTTCACTCATCTTAACTCACCTAACAATGATTTTGGATTTTCAGTGGGTTTAACTTTGCATGGTTAAATGATAGAGCATACTGTTAGTAACTATTCATCAAATAGCAAGTGAGGCTACACAATCCTTATTTAGGAAATAAGACTGAGTGGGTTGAAAAAGTTGTGTCAATTTCTGTCTTTCTAGCAAAAGTTGTTTAATTTTCGTACTATGCACCTAGTACAAATATTTTTGAAGAGGATCAAGCAGTAGCTAATGCATCTTGTATCATCAATAATACAATTGTAGTATACTAAAAACTCCAGGTTTTGCAATGTTGAATGCTTGGTTGGCCTTACCGAGAGCTGAAAAACAGAGCCTTGTGTTCAATATGTGACATACATATAGGGAGCTAAGCGGGGTTAAGGCAAAGTAATGCAGAAGAAGAGGAAGCCAAGAGTGATAAGTCATGGTAGCTAAAAGAGAAATTAGTGAGGTGAGCAGGAGATAAGAGAGATGTTTAGACTAGAGGGCAATTTAAAGAGAATATTAAAAAATTGAGGAAAGACAAGAGAGTAGAAGTAGAAAAGCGTGAAGGGGGGTGGGGAGCGGATTTTTAACTAATCTAGAAATACTTCAAGTGAAGACAATCCTCTTCTTCTTGGGAAGACAATACTCATAATTTCTACTAGTAGCTTGCATGTATTATGAACATTGTTTATTTCATTGCAAGACCGTATAGTGAGAGAAATAATTGGCTGTGTTTTAAGAACTTAGTATATGTTTAACCCTTGGACTTGCCTCCAACCACATCAATTTTCCACTTACATTTATCTACACCTATAGCAAAGTTATCTTTGAGATTCTACTCTGAATCGAAAAGGTCTTTTAGAATCGAATCGTAAAATCTTGAGTAACACTCAAATTTCATTGAGTTTATTTATATTACGGGGGTGTTTGGTTAGTTGCTTTTTGGAGCATAATGATTATTTTATAATTTTTTTTATTTTTTATTATTTTTTTTTTGTAAAAGAGTTATTTAATCATTTCAAAAAGCTCTTTGGGGTGTTTGGTAAGGTGCTTTTTGAAAGAGCAATTTTTTTTTTCCTTTTATTTTAATTAAGTTCTTTCACACACTAAAAGCTCTTGAAATTTGAAAGGCAAACTTTATATCATTATTTCAATGTAGTGATAATTGCATAATTATAATTAAGTCCTTTTGTTTTCTTATAGCAGCAGTGAGTCTTAGATATGAATTTTCTTGGTGATCATTTAGCGCTAGGATGTGATTTATGTTTGATGTTTGTTTTTAGGTGGGAACTGGACCTACAATAAGCAAGTTAAATATATCCTCTGTGGTAAGATTTCTGTCCCTTCTGGTTCCTTTACTTTGAATTTACTTGCTGGTATTATTGAAATTAGTTTATTGTGTTTTTTTACATAACCACTAATTTTATCATTGGAATTTGATACCAATTGACACATATGGATATGGGCTCACTTTAATTAATCTAGGAAGAACTTGAATGGAATATTTTTGGTCTGAGGTATGGGATTATAGGCATCACTCAACCCATTGGTTTGATTCCTAACCCTACATCTTATAGCAGAAGGTGATCCAAACACACCTTTGTGGATCTCATGGATTATAATTTCTAATTCAAACTCTTTGGTTTGATTTTAAGTAGCATCAAGTGGGTCCTTAACAAGAAAAAAAGGTACTGTGTGCAGATTAAATTGGTCTATATGTTTTGGTGAAGTGATTACTTATGTTTTAACATCTGTTAAAGATATCGGTTCAAATTACTTCATTAGTATTCCAGCCTTGCTCTCACCATTTTAGAGGAGCATTATGTACTAGTGAGCTGTACATGTTTTGTGCTTATCATATACTTTTGGAAATTAACTAATGTAGTATTAGCTGCACAAATCCAAAACAATGTGAAATACAACGAGAAAGATCTAAAGAAATTTGATTGAATAAGAACACATTTTATTGGCTTATAACAGATATTGCGGTTTGATTGATTGATTGATTGATTAAGGCTTTGATTGATTGTTAGATAGATAACAAATATTGCGACCAGGGTTACCTAATTCTTCCTCTGTTTCTTTTTTACTTGACCTATAGTCTCATGACACACAATTAAAGGAAGAAATAAGATAAAATAAAGGATTGTTTAATACAAAAAAAAAAAAAAAATATAACCACCAATAAGAGGGATGGATAAATTGGGGTTTTATGGTATTAGTTTATTTTTATTTAGTGTATGTTTATTTTCTTTAATCTCTTCCTTGTTGCGTGCCAAAGGGCTATAGGCCTAGTTAATAAAAATGGAGGAAATACATAGTACACTTTCGTGCTCGGAACGAGTATAAGACAACAATAAACTACCTAAACATGTTAAATTAGCCTAAAATTGTTCTACCCTACCAATATTTGCATTCGAATCTGTGCACTACCAATACATAATTCGGTAAATTCGCGTGGGGGTTGGGGAACTGGAGTATTAGGTAACTCTGGTGGCAGCACCTGAAATCTTATTTTGAGGTGGAGACTTTTTAAAAGTACTAAGAAGATGCACTCTAGAGTGGAATAATTTGTTAAAGAGGTAGAAGATCAACAAACTTTGGTTTCAATCCTTCTAAAACTTAAGATGAGCGTTAACAAGTGTCATAGGCAGTCAACGACACTGAGGGTTTTTGGGATTTATGTTAAATTTCAAAACTCTAAAGACATGTTTCTTTAATCCTTTAGGGCGTTTAAAATCTCAATGATATGATACTACGTATCATACTTTAGTTATTGGAGTTATTGCATACATTAGAATCAATAACTAACTATATAATAAAAGACACACCAACAATGATACGTGTCAAATTTTGGTGTCTTTAGTTTTTTGTGTTTTTTTTTTTGTTTAAACAAAAAACTCCTTTTATAAAACTTTTAATTTAGGAAATCATTACATAATAATAATTGTCTTAACAGTATAAAATAAGTAATGATCTTTTACATTCTATAGATGGATATGCAACTATCTAAGGTACGTGTTTTGGGACTCTTGGCAACATTTAATTACTTAATCTTTGAGAATTTTTTTTTTAAGAATATAATCTTCATATACTTAACAAGAATCACGTAAAAAAAACCTTACAGTATTTGTATCTTCTTCTACTATTTACTTTTTTTACAGGAAACTTCTACTATATATTTACTATACAACAAATGAAGGAAAATTTTGCATCAATAAACAAAAGATAGAAAATTTAATCGCAAAGATAAAAGATATTCAATCTTAATATGACTACTCTTCTTAAAAAATGGTTGCCAACATAATTTACTGTAGGAAAAAAAAATCCAAAATAGGAATTTACAAAACAAAATTGCATAATATTTAAAGAACAAGTAAAAAACAATTAACTTTAAATATTGAATTTTTTTAAAGAAAAAGTCAAAAATTAATTAAAGAATAACATATGAGTTGTTATTTTGAAAAACAATTTAGACCACATGAGGTATATATTGCACTTGGTTGTGATTAGATACATGGTTAGTGAGTAAACATCGTATAACCTTAAACGATCTTAAGAAAATGGATTATTTATTAAGGGTAATGCTATATGTAGATCTTAGGTCTTAGAATAAGCATTTAATATATTTTCTAATTTGGTATTAATTTAGGAATGTATGAAAAAATCACGCGCCAATCAGTGTAATTAATGTTATATTTTCATTTTTTTCCCCATTTTTAGCTCCTTATATATAGCTGTAAGGGCTATGTATAGCATTTTCCATTTATTAATATCATAGTTCTATAAAATTCCTTAACTTATAGTAATACATCCTCCGTTCTTTTTTTATTGCATCATAGGGGTTTTGGAGGCAAAATTTGATAGTGGGAAAAAGTAAAATAAAGAAACGTAAAAATACAAAATTGTCCATGTAATGTAAAGATAAAATAAAAAGTAAGTGTGAAAAAATAAGAGTATGTTGGGTATTTGCAGTTTGAACATAGATATTTTTTGTCCTAAAATGGAAGTGATGCAATATTTGTGAAACTTCCCTAAAAGGCAAGTGATTCGATATTAAAAGAACGGAGGAAGTATAAACAATACATCAATTTATCTTTAAAATTTTTTATTTACCCATATGAGAAATGATCAATGACATAATTTTAAAATACTCATTCGACTAAACAACTCTTTCACATGATATTCTATGTTTAAATTTTTGTAAAGACATGAAATAAGAAGAAAATAAGGTCAAAATTTGTTCACAGTTTTAGATGGTTTTTAATTTCTTTTAGTAAAATATAATGCTAAATTACAATAAATATTAAAATATAACGTGCATGGCACGGGACCTAACCTAGTATTTAGATAAAATCAAAACGTAAAATATATTTTTTTGAAAAACATAAATAAAAACTGGGTTACCAGTCCGGTCTGGATTCTTCCGGGTTAAGACATGACGTGACCGAAACCCGATATTAAAAATTTTACGACCCAGAGACCGACTGGTTTCAAAAGGGTCTGTCTATTTCACCAGTCTGAACAACCCTAGCAGTGCTTTTTTTTTTTCCTCTGTCACGTGAATGCCTCCATTTAGGGTCAAAATCATCAATCAAAGTTGAGGGAATGGGGTATGTTGGTTAATTCTGTACTTGCCATACTCTGACTGCTCTATTAGAGTATTAATTGTTCTTCAATTTATTCTGAAAGGTTCATGAATTTTGTTGACATTTTAAACTGGGAACTTTCCTTTATTATTTCATAGCAAAAATTGTCTATTTGCTTGCGATTTCATAAATTTCGCCTTGGTTTCTTGCTTTTCCATCTTTAGCCAACACTCCACTTTTTTAAGAATGGAAGGAAGGCTGCAGAGGTGATTGGTGCTGATATTAGGAAGATTAAGGATTTATCTTCAACATTGTACAAGTAAGGATCATCTTTTCTCTTGCACCCATGTTATGTCTGTTATGATTCATGTTATGTCTGTTATGATTCATCTTGGTTGGCATGCTTGAATGCTCTTTTTGATTCTGAAAGAAGATCAACTTCTTACCTACTGTGCAATCACACTAGGCGCTGTGGTCATTGATGTTGTTTGTTACATGATATGTAGAATATAACTATTGTGAAGTTATTACAGACTTTTCAGCTGAATCTTATGCCTTCTGCTTGGCAAGGGCGCTTCTTGAGAAAAATTGTGACCTTGGTCTATGCTGATCCATGTTATTTACTGCCCACCAAAAAATTCATTGAAATTTTATGTGAAATAAACGAAGGTAGTTATACTTTCTAAATACCTAAAACTATTAGGGTTTTTTTTTTTTTTTTTTTTTTTTTTTTTTTTTTTTTTTTTGTAATATTCTTTTCTACAATTATTGAAGTGCATGGTGCTAGGTTAGCAATGGAAGGTCCAGGCTTCCCTTCAGAAGATAACTTCATAGTACTCAAAATCCAACTTAATTTCGTCAAGTTAATTATATAGTAAACATGATTAAAGTTGCACTTTCAGTTCAATAGTGTTCTTCTCATGTTCTCATATTAAGCGACTTCTCATTGGATTCTTTTTCTATCCACACACACACATGGAGGGATCGGATGCAGGGAGTACAGACATTATCCATAACAAAGTTTAACCCTTTGTACTTGCTATTTAAATAAATGAACTAAGCTTCAGAAATATGAGCCTTTTAGCACAACAAAGAACCTTTAGTAGCACAACAAAGAACCTTTAGTTCAAAAAAAAAAAAAAAAAACTTAGAAATTGACTTTCAGAGCAAAAGAAAATGAACCCTTATTTTAAACTTGATTAAACTATGATTCAAAAACTATGAACTTGGATTTCAAAAAAGCTAAACTGCCTCAAAAATATGAATTAAATAGTATGAATCTTTAGTAGAAAAGGAACATTTAATTTTATAAGGTGAATTTCATGAAACTTGAATTCAAAAAATGTGGTATTCTTGAAAATGTATCGAACTCTTATCTACAATGGCTATGCTCTTTCGCCTTGCTTTGCCGTTGCCCATCTGAAGGTAGAGCCGGGACTCTCAAGTCTCAATTTTTCGTACATGAAACTTGAGTTCAAGATTGCATACTCAAATTTTGGTTTTATGGCATGGTGAGATATTTAGTGTGGCATATATATGGAAAGATTGGAAACACACTGGTAGGAATCAGATGGAACGTAGCCAATTGGGGAAGGTTTCAGGAAGAATAACAATGGAGGGAATCAGTTTGTATTGTATTAAGGAATGTAACAGTTATCCTTCTTTCGAGAGGAAGGAACTCTCCTTGATAAGCAAAGCTTAATGATATTTTCTGGATGCCTAACACCACCTCATTACAGTATTATTTATACTGATCCTCTTGGGTTATCAGTTTGTTACATTCATCCCCCCCTAATAACAGAAAATATTCTGCTAAGCAAAAAGACTAACAGAACCCTTAGTGCTAATAACAGAATTCAATTTATTAAAAGCATAACTAATTAAAAAGTAACAGCTCAGCTTCTTCAAGAAACTTCTGGCTAACCCCCTTGCTTCTTCTTACGCCTGGAGTATGTGGCCACTATAGGAGGCCTTGGCCCATTCCTTCCAATACCCTCCGCAACAAGTTTCACCTTGTCCTCAAGGTGGAAGTTAGGAAACCGAAGGTTTAAGTCTGAGTATGGCTCCCAAGTAGCTTCAAATTCAGGAAGATCCTTCCATTTAACCAACACCTCCAACTCTAGGTGCTGATTCCCGGTTTTGTTTCTGACCCCAAGGACTGAGTCTGGTTCCACAGCAAGGGTAAGGTCAGCAGTGAGTTGGGGAGGGAGGGGTGTAGCAGGGATCTGTGCTCCATGAGCTTTCTTCAGCTGGGATATGTGAAAGACAGGATGTATCTTTGCCCCCATAGGCAATTCAAGCTTATAGGCTACTTCCCCAACCCTTTGAACCACTTCATAAGGCCCGTAGTATCTTGGAGCTAACTTCATATTGCCCCTTCTACCCACAGACTGTTGCCTATAGGGCTGTAGTTTAAGGTAAACCCAATCTCCTACCTCAAAATGGCCTTCCCTCCTCTTTTGGTTCTTATAGCTTCGCATGAACTCTTGGGCTTGGAGTAGGTGGAACTTCAGGTCATCAAGGACAGCATCTCGGTCAATGAGCTGTTCCTCAACAGTGGAGTTGGCTGTAGTTCCTGGGCTATACCGGATCAGCTTTGGAGGATCCCTTCCATATAAGACCTTGAAAGGTGTGTGAAGGGTTGAAGTGTGGTATGATGTGTTGTACCAATATTCAGCCCATGGAATCCAAGAGAACCAAGATTTAGGCTTCCTACTCACAAAGCAGCGTAAGTACGATTCTAGCCCCTTGTTAAGAACTTCAGTCTGGCCGTCGGTTTGGGGATGGTAGGCTGTACTCCTTGTGAAGTGCAGTGCCCTGTAATCTGAATATCTCCCTCCAAAAACTGCTTAAGAAAACTTTGTCCCGATCCGAAACAATAGTGGAGGGTGTCCCATGTAGCCTTACTATCTCCTTTACAAAAGCTTGGGCCACACTCTGGGCTGTAAATGGGTGTTTCAGAGGAATGAAATGGCCATACTTGGACAGCCTATCCACCACAACCAATACAGTGTCCCACCTCAAGGACTTTGGTAACCCTTCCACGAAATCCATGGAGATATCTTCCCAAACTTTGTCGGGAATGGGAAGGGGTTGTAGCAACCCTAAGGGGCTAACTGTGGCAGCCTTACTCTGCTGGCAGATTGCACAGTCACGGACATACTCAGTGATATCCTTCCTCATTCCCACCCAGTACCATTCGGCAGCGAGCCTCTGATAAGTTTTGAAGTCCCCTGCATGCCCTCCAACTGGAGAGTCATGGTATTCATGGAGGAGGGCTGTTGTAAGGGGGGATTTCTTGGGAATTACAATCCTCCCTTTATACCGAAGTATATCATTTACCAAAGTAAACCATTTCAGTGGCTGGCCTCCATGTTTGATTTCGGTTGACAGCTTCATAATAAAAGGGTCTTGCTGAATTTGCTTCTCAATTTGATCCCATTGGAACCCAGCTACTGTCACTAAGGAAGAACACTCCACTTCCGGAGGAAATTCACGAGATAGGGCATCAGCCACCCTATTACTTGCGCCCGGTTTATACTGGATTTCAAATGTATAACCCAGTAGCTTGCCCACCCACTTTTGATAGGCTTGACCCACCTCCCTTTGTTCCAAAAAGTACTTCAAACTTTTCTGATCGGTGCGTACAATAAATGTACGCCCCAAGAGATAGTGTCTCCACCTTTCCACAGCCATCACAATTGCCATCAACTCCTTCTCGTATATCGGTTTACCCATGGCCCTACTGCCTAGTGTGCGACTGAAGAAGGCTATGGGATGTTCCTGCTGGGCTAACACCGCGCCAACCCCATGACCACAAGCATCCGTTTCCACTATAAATGTTTCACTGAAATTCGGCATAGCCAGAACAGGGGACTGAACCATAGCCATTTTCAGGTTCTGAAAAGCAATTGTGGCCTGCTCATGCCACCCGAATTTATCTTTCTTCAACTGATCAGTCAAGGCCCGGGCAATCTGAGCATAATTGCGGATGAACTTTCGGTAATAGCCTGTCAGTCCCAGGAAACCACGTAACTCTCTCAAGTTTTGAGGCTGTGGCCAATCAACCATGGCCTGGATTTTATTCTGATCAACCTCCACACCCTTCCCAGAAATTACATGACCCAAGTAGGCAACTCGGGTCTGCCCAAAGTCACATTGCTTGCGGTTAGCATACAACTGGTTTTTCCATAGCACACTCAAAACAACTGACAAATGATGCTCATGCTCTTTTAAGGATTTACTATATATCAAAACATCATCAAAGAAAACCAGTACGAACTTACGGAGATAGGGTCGGAAGACAGTGCTCATGAGGGACTGAAATGTTGCCGGAGCGTTGGTGAGGCCAAACGGCATCACTAAAAACTCATAGTGACCGTCATGGGTGCGAAAAGCGGTTTTGGATACGTCTGTTTCCTTAACCCGAATCTGATGATAGCCGGACTTGAGGTCCGGCTTGGAAAAAATTTGAGCTCCCTGGAGTTCATCCAGTAATTCATCAATTGGAATAGGGTACTTGTCAGGAATGGTGCTTTTGTTAAGAGCCCGATAGTCAACGCAAAACCTCCACGACCCGTCTTTCTTCTTGACCAACAATACTGGACTGTAATAGGGGCTAATGGAGGGTTGAATGATCCCATCCTTGAGCATATCTCGGACCAGCTTTTTAATTTCTGTTTTTTGGCTTTGTGGATATCGGTACGGCCGTACGCTAATGGGGTCAGTCCCCTCTTTCAAGAGGATGGAGTGCTCAATGTCCCTCTTGGGTGGTAACCCTTCCGGCATTTCGAACACCTGCTGGTGCTCCTGTAAGAGGAGCTGGAGGCAGGAAGGCACATCAGCGTCGGTTTTTGTGGTATCCATGGCTACAGACATCTCCAACAAAAAACCTTGTTTCTCCTTTCGAAGAGACCGAAACATGGCTCTCAAGGATACATTAGATCGTCCCAAAGAGAGATCTCCCCGGATAGTCACAGCCTCCTCTCCAACTCTAAACTTCATCACCTGCTGTTTCCAGTTGGTGGTCACCGTACCCAACTTCTCCAGCCACTGCATTCCTAAGATAACATCTGAATTTCCCCAGAGGTAAGACCAGGAAATCCTCCACTATGGTAATACCCTGCACATAGAGTATTACTCCCCTACATTCCCCTGAGCCTTGCACTGCCTGCCCATCGCCCAAGGTTACACCAAACGCACAGTTCCCCACCACCGGCAGATTCAAAATCTCGGCCACCTTAGTGGATAGAAAATTGTGGGTTGCTCCCGAGTCAATGAGAACCACCACGTCTTGGGTGTTTATAGAACCCGGAACCCGCATTGTCCGTGCCTGAGTCTAACCCATCACCGAACACAGGGATACCGTCGGTGGTGCTGGTGATGGTGGCTCGGTGGCCGGAGCCTCGACTTGCACTTCCCCTGCCGACAATTCTCTTTCCTCCTCGCCGATCCCTTCTTCTTCATCCACCGCCAACAACACACTTAACTCCCGCCGCTTGCAACGGTGGTTCAAATTCCACTTTTCATCGCACCTGAAGCAAAGCCCCGACTCCCTCTTCTGCTGGAGTTCCTTTTCACTCTACCTCCTTATTTCCCCTGGTATTCGGGTAGTGGTATTTCTGGGAGGGTAGGCTGAATTTGTGGTTAATGGCTTAGGGGTAGTATGGTTTAAATGTTGTTTGGGCTGGTATGTAGTATTGGGCCGGTTTGGGTTATTTTTGTAGGTAAGGGTATTTTGGGATTTTGTTTCTGGGCTTTTTATAAGGCCATACCTGAGCTTCTCTTCAGCAGATATTGCAAGCTCAATAGCGTCATCCAAGTCCCTGGGCCTGAGCATTCTTATTTCAGACCTTATCTCTCTACTCAGCCCAGTCATATAGTTGCTGAGAGCAACTATTTCAGTGACGTTCTCCAAGGGCGCCATTAATTCCACGAAGCGTTTGTTATACTAAGCCACCGTCGACGCACCCTGTTGCAGTGCTATCCACTGCTCATACAGGCCACCTTCGTGCGGACGGAACTTCCGAAGGATCGGAGACTTGAGCTCCACCCACCTACGAATTCGTCGCCGGCGGTTTTCGTACTGAAACCAGAGGATGGCATCTCCTTCGAGGGCAACCACCGCGGCCTCTACGCTGTCCGCTTCGCTCAGCCGGTAGAAGTGGAAGTAGCGTTCAGCCCTGAGGATCCAACCGTCCGGGTTAGTTCCGTCGAAGGTAGGTAGGTCCAATTTCTTTGACCTCCAACCCGTGGTGTGTTCTCTGGAACCCTCGGAGTTGTTTTCTCCCGATTGGTTTAGATCTGGTCCAAGGCCTTCAAACATGCCGTAGGTCTCGGCCATTTGGCTGTGACCACGGTTGAACTGAGTTGAGTCGTTTTTCTTCGACCCGATTAGCAACTCAGTAATCTGCTGGATCTGGTGGTCCAGCAGTTGGTTGAGATTCGCATCCTTCTGGGCTATGTCTTGACGTATCGCGCCAAGCTCTGTTTCCATATCATCCATGCGCTGGGCATTGGTTCTGGTACTAGGTGCCATCTGTGAATAGACGTTTTTTTTTTTGAAGGCTTGAGCGTCACCGCTCTGATACCGATTTGGTAGGAATCAGATGGAACGTAGCCAATTGGGGAAGGTTTCAGGAAGAATAACAATGGAGGGAATCAGTTTGTATTGTATTAAGGAATGTAACAGTTATCCTTGATAAGCAAAGCTTAATGATATTTTCTGGATGCCTAACACCACCTCATTACAGTATTATTTATACTGATCCTCTTGGGTTATCAGTTTGTTACATTTATCCCCCCCTAATAACAGAATATTCTGCTAAGCAAAAAGACTAACAGAACCCTTAGTGCTAATAACAGAATTCAATTTATTAAAAGCATAACTAATTAAAAAGTAACAGCTCAGCTTCTTCAAGAAACTTCTGGCTAGCCCCCTTGGTTCTTCTTACGCCTGGAGTATGTGGCCACTATAGGAGGCCTTGGCCCATTCCTTCCACACACTTGATGTCCATCTAACTTACATTCAGATTTTGTTTTCCATATTATTCATTTGTAAGGGTTGTGTAGATATAAATTAAAATGAACGTTAGCATCTGTTGGGTGACATTATTAAAATGTTGTAATATTATGGCTCTTGTGAGCATGGCACTGCTTAACTACCTATTTATTAGGATATGGTAAAATCTATAGGTGGTGTGGGTGGTGCATCTTCCACTTGATGCTAATTTTCCGTGGATGATTGTACATGAGTGAGGTTATTTTGGCAAACATCCATGGGTATTAGAGTGCATGAATTGGGAATTCTAAGGTTATTATTTGACATAGTTCAGTAATGATTTGATTGGAAGGAATTCTAAGGTTATAATTTGACATAGCTCAGTATGGTTTGATTAGAATCCATGGTAAAACTTTCTCATGTTCATATTTTTTGTTTACTTCAGGAATGAGTAGAAAAGATCTCTTATTGTGTGAAATGTATCCATGACGCTTGAGACTGGATGTGGATTGTGGTGTTATATTTTCAGATAAATGCACGAGTTTTACGTACTTTCTGAAGATCATTTTGCAAATGAAGATGTTTATTGATAATGTCTTGATTAAGCGGACAGCCAACAGCATGTGTCATTGCATCCTCTATTTCGTTTACTTAGAAATTCAAGGCAGGTGTTCATTTAGTACTTTTAACGGGTGCAATCAGTCTATTTGTCAAATTTCAGTTTACAGTTTGATCCTACCAAGCCATGATGGTTCTACATGCTAATGTTCGTCCATCTTCAAAGTGATGTTTTGTGTATGCTACAGATAGCAAGAGGTCGAAGTCAGGTTGAGCAAGCTTTGATTTGCCTATATTATTTTGGAGGGATTACTTGACGAGTCTCTTCATCTGAAAGCTTCCGTAATAGTTTGCATAACAAATTAACAAGTAGGTTGTGCAAAAAATCCGGAAAATAAAAGAAAAAAATGAACTGAAAGTGCAGTTAAGTGAATCAAAGTAGTAGGATTAATATTCATAAAACCCGAACAGGAAATATTTGTAAAAAACCGACTTAGCACTTATAAGTAACTAAAATTTTCACTTTTACACTTAATTGCCTCTCATTCATCTACTATCATCAAAATTTCGTTAATAATCCTACTAACTTGTTAATAATATTTACTATAAGCTGTACTTCGTATGTTATAGGCTTTGTATATAATATAGGATTCAACTTGTTTTATTTAACATATATAAAAGTTTTCCAAAAATCCTTGCTTGAGAGTTCAAGGCTTTGTAATTACAAAATATGTAATGTATATGTTTGCACTTTTCTTTTTTTGGCCAAATTACCAAATTGGTATAAAAAAAGAGCAGTATTTACCACATTGGTATATAAAAAACCTTTAACCACTTTAAGGTATTAAAAAAAGAAACAGGTGACAATTGGGCCTATTTTTTTAAGCTGAGTTTCATTATGAGCAGCGCGTGAGTTACTATTGATCAATTTTTTTTTTTTATTTATTATTATTTATTTATTTAATTTTTTTTTTTTTCAGTCTATACTAATTTATTTCCTAGCCTTTTCATCTTGTATTCAGTTTAATTTACCCTAAGGATAATGCAAGTTAACTCTAAAAAACCAAAAGTTCATCGCCATAGCAGACTAGCAGTACAAGCAATCAATTTCATAAAGGACCTATAATTATTGCACATTACTTCAAGGAAAACAAAGGTATGTTGATTTGTCAATTTTATTTTCTAAGGAATATGTATAGGGATTTCATAATTTATTTATATACAATGGATATTTAGGGTTTATGTTGGCTTTTATAATTTTGGTTGCACTTTTATTTGATATATTTGATACAATTTGTGCAATTGGCGTATTTATAATGTAGATTTTGAAAAAAAAAAAAATTAATTAGGGTTTTCATATTAATCGCAGATATATGGATGATTCATTTAGCCAATCAAATTATGTTAATATGGTCTAGGAAAAAAATTAACCCCTAAGAAAAAGAAAAGGTTAGAGGAATCCTCTAACCTGATGCCAATAGTTAGCGACCAAAACCCACAATCTGATCAAGAGTTTTTTTACCAGCCAAGTGACTCCACTCAACACGAAGACCTCGACCTCATAGACCAATTAATCATATTCTGATATCATACGGCCAAATAATTCTACTCAGGCCCCGCTGTTTGAGCCAATTACCATGGCATCTACATCTGATGTTGGTTTTTTAAATTACGGGACGGATGAAGATCAACAAAAATCAAGTGAGTATGATACTGATGATACGACAGAGGATGAAAGCTATAAGATAGATCCAACCGAAGTGTTTGGCGATGAAGAAGCTATTGAATATGAAGGAAAAAAAGGCAAGGGCAGAAAAAGAGTCACTACAAGTGGTAATAGGGGAGGAGTCATGGGTAAGAAAAAGATGTTAGAGGAAGAGAATCAACATGTATATGATGGTGAATCTGAAAACTCATTACACTTAAATGACACTATGAGAGAAGAGTTGGGGTTATGGTGTTGAGGAACTCATTCAGTTTAGAATGGAAAATTTAAACAGAAGGAGATCACAAAGACTACCTCGCAATCAAAGTGAGGGAGAACAACATAATGTCTTTACCACTGAGGGGGGGGTAATGATCAACTAAATCAAGTGCAAAATATAAGGAAAGTAGAAGAAGTCACGAGAGGAACTTGTTCAAAGAAATGGCTAGCATATTGGACCACATTTGAGGGAGGATATGAATCTGACCAGAGAGATTCGGATGATGAAGGGCCACTAAATTCAGATGAAGCAGAGGACAATGAAAATGTTGAGGTTGTTATAAGGAAGAAAAAATATAGAGTGCAATATCCTTCATTTAATGAGAGGGTTGACATGGGACATGCAGCTATTTGTGGGCTTGAAATTTACATCGCATAAGGTTTTTAAACAAGCTGTACTTGCATATTCAATTCAGCAACACAAGGATCTAATTTATTTGAAGAATGATAAGAAACAAATCCATTTAGGGTGTGCTCATTGTAATTGGGAACTAACATCTGATCCTGACATTGAGGATCACAATGCTTGGCAAATCAAGTCATTACAACCTGTTCATCATGTGTAAGAACTTTTGAAAACCGGTTGATTACAGAAAATTGGCTTGTCAGTGAGTACTTGGACAAAATTTTAAGAAATCCAAGAATGAAGCCAATCGAGATAAAACAAGACATGAAGGATAGATATGAGATCATCGTAAGTGATAGAAAGTGTCAGAGGGCCAAAGAAAAGGCTTTAAATGCTGTGAAAAGTCTTATGCAGAAACAATATGGAATACTAAAGCCTTATTTGTGCGAGTTAGTGAAATCAAACCCTGGAACCACATGCGTGTTAAAGACACTTGCAAATGAAGATGGACAACCAAAGCAATTCCAAAAGTTTTTTATGTATGCTATGAAGCTCTAAAGAGAAGCTTTAAAGAAACATGTAGACCAATCATAAGGTTGGATGGATGCTTTTTAAAGCATGCTTGTGGGGGGCAACTCTTATGTGCTGTGGGTAGAGATGGAAATAATCATATGTTTCCAATAGCTTGGGCTGTGGTGGAGAGAGAAAAAAAGAGCTCATAGGATTGGTTCTTGAATTTTCTTAATGAAGATTTACATGGAGAAGGGTGGACAGTGGTTTCAGATCAACAAAACCTATTTAATTTTTTTACAATTTCAAAATTTGAGTGTTTAAACTTAAAAGTAATGTGTATTTATATTTTGAACCAGGGACTAGTTCTAGCAATACATGCTTTGAACATAGACAATGTGCAAGACACATATTCACTAATTTAAGCAAGAAACATAAAGGCAAGGTGTTCAAGAAGCAATTTTGGGAGTGTGTTAAGGCAACGAGTGATGGTGAATATGCAACAGTAGTGGCCAAACTAAAAGAGTTATCACAGAAAGCATACGAGGATTTCATTTTCAGGGATCCTAATACCTTTTGCAAGTCAAAGTTTAAATTATGGTCTACTTGTGATGTTGTTGATAACAACATGGCTGAAACTTTCAATAGTTTCATCCATCTTGCAAGATATAAGCCCATAGTTTCCATGCTAGAAGATATAAGGCTAGCTTTGATGGAAAGAATGAGAGAAAAGAAGTTAGAAGGGAAATTTGTGGCTGGTGTGTCCCTAAAGATTAGTTTGAAACTAGAAGAGGCTTATAATGAACAAGCTAAATGTGAATGCAAGTGGAATGGGGAAGACTCTCAAACTGGGTTTGAGGTTCATTTGAATGGGACAGGTGATGCAAGTCTAGGCATCGAGAACTTTGAAGATTTGCTTATCATGCATCAAGATAGCTTGTCTCTAAACATTGATTCAAGTCAAGCATTGCATGGACACTTTCTTGGATACCAAAGCAAAGCTACGGTTTGCTTGGTTGCGTTTCTTGGAGTCTAAATTAGTTTTTTTAATTTTCTTACTTAGATTTTGCTTACAAGTTTTTACTTTTCACTTGAAAGGGTTTAGCATTAGGATCTTTAAGCTTTTAATTAGTTTCTTTAAATTAGGAGTTAGTTAAATTCGTTTCTTTAATTAGTTTAATTAGGCGTGTAATTAAGAGCTTGGTGAGCAAGCTTGATTAAGATAGGATTTGGTTTGTTTTAGGAAACTAAGCAAATCTTATCCTCGGGCTAGTTAGAGTTCTAGTTGGATTAGATAACCAATCAAATTATATCTTAATTGATTAGTTATGTAAACCGTGTGTATTAAGCTTGCGGTTCAAGGATTTGTTCCCTTGTTCTCCAAGTTGGTTTAGAAGTCTAGTTTTCTTAGGATTAAACTAGGGAATTGTCCTAGTCTTCCTAGGAGAGTCTAGACAATAAATAATGTTTGTAAGCACACGAATTAAGGATATTATTACTGCATTGTTGAGTTTAAACACTTAAGTTCTAATTGATGGATTTCAATTGTTGTTTTGCTTGTTTTAGTTAAAACATTCGTTTAGGCTGATTAATTAGGTGGATTCTTAGTTAATTAATCTAGTTTCTTGTTTAATTCTTGGTGGATTTTCCTGTATAGAATTAAGCTTGATTCATATCCTTGTGTGTTCTAGTTTTAGGACTAAAATTCACATCATCTTGGTATCAGATTCCAGGTTACGGTAGAAAATAAACTGGTAATATTTGGCTGGGAATTTTTGAGTGATTCTTTTTGAATTAGTCTCTAAAAACGTCTAGATATCACCATATAAAATTTCGTAGATTTTGGTTGAGTAACGAACTCTGTACAGCCTCAAACTCTTGGTGTTGTTACACTGGGTTGCGGTTGGGAGTCCGGTTTTTGTTTGCTTAAAGATTTGATCTTTTAATCAAGATTTTTGCATATACTAACTTGGTTTGTGTAGGAATAATGATTGACGAAGAGGTTTCACAGGTTCCAAGGGGTTTAATCTTAGAACAAGCTCAAAACCTTAGAAGGGATAGGCAAATCACCGAGTTGGTAGCAAGGTTGGAGTAGGTGTTGAAGAGACTTGATGCTCGTGATGGATCTTCTTCAAAGAGGGGTGATTCTACCCCTAACTCTAGTTAATGTGAGGAAGAAAAATCAAGAAGAAACCCTAGGAGGTCACGTAAGAACCATTCATCAAGTGATGATTCACCTAGACCTAGTAGAAGGGATAGACCAAAGGATGATGATAGGAACCTTAGGTTAGATCTTCCCGAATTCAATGGGAGTATGAATGAACCAAAGAAGTATTTTGAATAGATTAGAAGGGCCGAAACACTCTTTGATTACAAGGAGTATGATGAGAGAAAGAAGTGTAAAATTGCGGAGTTGAAGCTCACTGGTTATGCTAGTCTTTGGTATGATAATTTGAAGAAGAAGAGGCATAGGGAAGGGCGTGACAAAATCACAACTTGGGAGCGACTCAAGAAACACATGAAAAAGAGGTTCGTTCCTAGTGATTATATTCAAGATATTTACTTAAAAATGCAAACTTTTAAACAAAATTCTGTGAGTGTTCAGAACTATATTGTTGAATTTGAGAAGTTATGCATGCTATGTGGTTTAGAAGAGATTGTTGAACATAAGATTGCTAAATTTATTTCGGGATTG